CAGGTCCCCTCCCCCCCCCCAGGTCCCCTCCCATCCCCGGGTCCCTCTCATCCCCCAGGTCCCTCCCATCTCCCAGGTCCCTCCCATCTCCCAGGTCCCTCTCATCCTCCAGGTCCCTCCCACCCCCCAGGTCCCTCTCATCCCCCAGGTCCCTCTCGTCCCCCAGGTGACCTCCCATCCCCCAGGTCCCTCCCATCCCCAGGTGCCCTCCCACCCCAGGTGGTCTCCCACCCCTGGGTGGCCTTCCTGCTCCCAGGATGCTGAGGGCAAGTCCTCTTTGCTGGGGGTAAAGGACAGGCCAGAGCTCTGCCAATGACAGGCCAGAGGCCGATAAGGGACTCCTGGGAGCCTGGAAACCTGCCTCTGGGAGGAGGGGGAGCTGAGGGGTCCCAGCAGGCCCCTCCTCCACCCACCTGGCTATTTTTAGCTCCACAGGAGAGGGAATATTAATGAGGATGATGAATATTCACATGCATGGGAGCTTAAGAGAGCAGCACACAGAATATCACACGCTTGCACACACATGACACAGGCATGACGTGGCCGGCAATGCAAAAGCACTCACCGGGGACCACACACGGGCATCTCCCCTCCCACAGCTGGTGACTCTGGGCCCCAAGACAGCTGGAGGGGAGAGGCCTGGACAGCCTGAAGGTGGGGCCAGCAGGTGCATCCCCTCAGTCAAGGTCACCCTGGGCTCAGACAGCTGCCCAACTGCCCCGACCCCTGCTGCTGTGCTGGGGACCCAGGGACAGGTGGAAGGGGCTTCTGAGAGCAGGGTCAGACAGGAGCTCCAGGGGTGCTAAGACGGGTGCAGGGGAGGTGAGGCGGGCTGAGACCAAGGGACGTCACAGCTGACCCAGGGACCGGGTCTGGCATCAGGCCCTGACTCTGAGGGCCCGAGGGCAAGGAAGGACCTCACCCGGCCCAGACCTGACCACGCGACAAGAATACAGGTGACGACCTTGGCCAACCACTGGGACGCAGGGACGCCAAGGGATCAAAGGGCCGATCCCTGTGGGCTCTGGCCTCGCCCGCCCGCCCAGCGGCGCCTCTGAAGTCCTGGGCAGGGCAGCCCAGGCACCTGCCCTGCACCTGTTGTTGGTCCATTCGGAGTCCCCTGCCTGGCCACGCAGCCATAGTGACAACAGGAAAGTAAACACTCCCCACCCCAGGGCCGGGAAGTGGCCAGAGAGGAAGTGGGGCTGCCAACAGACCCCCCCAGCCGGGACAGCCCGCCAGGAGTTATTTATAGCCCGGCCGGGGGCATGCTTCGGTTGTCTCGCTGGGCTAGGGGCACTTCGGGGGCAGTGGAGGGGGAGGGCCTCGAGTGGGCACCTGCAGACACCTCCCCCACAGACCAGGCCAGCCAGGCTCTGCCTCCATCCCAGCCAGCCTCGAGCCTCTATAACCAGACCCCACCCCTCTGCGCCCTGACTCCCAGGGTCCAATCCCACCTGCAAGCCCCCCACCCTCCTCAAACCCCACCAGTCCTGCACCCGCTCCTGTGAGGAAGGCAGGTGGAGGCCACTTGGCAGACAAGGGAACTGAGTCCCAGGTCGGGCAGAATAGCCTTGACCCCGCCTCTGACGTCTGCCTCTCTGTCCCTGCTGCCTCCAGTCTGTCCCTGGTGGGTGTGTGTGTGTGTGTGGAGAGACCCTCTCACTCAGTCACTAAGCACCTACTATGTGCAAAACCTGTGCTCAGAACATCCGACTTCCAGGCGAGGACATCGGGGCACTGGGAGTGACATGCCCGAGTGGGGCGGGGGCTGGCCGAAGGAGCAGGAGCCCAGGGGAAGCCAGTGCTGGTGGTGGAGATGGCCAGCCAGGAGGGCCAGGGCCGGACAGTGACTCAACCGCCACCAACGGGGCACATGACTCAGGACCCTCGAGACCCCTCCCCGTGGCCACGGGATATGGCGTCAATGGCTCTGGTGTCACAGGACGTGATGCTTCTGTCACTGTGGAAACTGTGGCGGGAGGATGGGGGAGCCCAGGAGGTCACACAGGGTGGGGAGGGCGTGCGCCTGAGGGTCAGGAGGGCTTGGCTGTGGCCCAGGTTCCTCTCCTGGCCTTCAAGAGCCCAGGAGGACACTGGCTTTCTGAGCCTCGATTTCCAGGCTGGACCATTTCGAGGGCCGTTCTCGCAGTGACAGTCACAGCGCTCCTGGGTCGGTCTGCTCTGACCTCAGAGGGGCTCCCAGCCAGGACCCCCTGGGTCTTCTCCGGCCCATCCTTCATGGGTCTCGCCTCGAGGGGGAGGAGAGTGGGATGGGGTCCGAGCTGTTTCCTCCAGGAAGCTGGCTGGCTGGAGGTGTCCCGACCTCTTAAAAGACACCACCCTTCATCCCACCCTGCCACTCCTGGTGACTTGGTCCCCGCACCCCTAACTCCAGCTTGTCCACACCCCACCCCCCAAGCCACAGAAGCAGAGCTGAATCCTGAATCGCTCATCCAAACCCAGGTGCAGAAGAGAAACTAAGGCAGGGGGAGGGGGGCTCCCTGGGGTCCCACGAATTCGTGTAGGTGGGCTTTTACAACCTCACTCTCGCAAGGGGTGGCTTTTACCACCTCACTCTCGCCAGCCAGGGGCCTCACCGCAGCCCTGCCTGCCCAGCTCCAGATGGGAAGGCTGAGGCTGGGGAGAGTGGTGCCCACCCAGGTCGTGGGGAGAGGAGTGCGACACGTCCTGTCCCCTCCCTGCCCTGCCTGGGTCAGAGCCGTGCTCAGTAGCACTGGACCCTCTGACTTCTGCAGTGTCAGTCCTCCAGGGCCCCAGCTCCCCTAGGGGTGGGGACTTGGGCTGAAAGGAGCTGGCGGCTGAGGAGGCACTGCAGGGTAGGGGCTGAAGTGGACCCAGTCCTGTCATGGCCCCAGGCTGGTCCCCAGCTCTGCCCGCTTGTGGCAGGCCCAGCTATGCGAGCCTGAGTGCTGGCTAAGCGCCTCCCCCGGTGATGGGGCACTACCAGCGGCGGGATTGGGGCCCAGCCCAGGGTTCTGTGGTGTCAGGACAGGGCAGGTGATGCCTCCTGGGAAAGACCCCCCCAGACTCTCACCCAGGCTGGGCACAGGCTGGGTGGGGCATATCCGGGAAGGATTTTCCCGTCATCAGGAAGGAAGAGTCTTTTCTGGCATCAGCGATCTCATTTCCGCACCGTTCCCGCCCACGGAGACTCCCATGATCGGGAGACTCAGGTTCCGGCCCGACAGGCCTGGCCAAGGCCCAGAGACGGCACCGTCCTGTCATCAGGGGTTCGGTCTGGGGTCTCCACATCCTCATTGCAGGGAAGCTGCTGCTGATGCCTTACCCTAAAGGGGGTGGGGGTGAGGGCAGGTACTGAGGAGGCGTGTCCCCAGCCCTGGCCTGCAGAACCCACGCCCTGCTGCCCATCTCCGGGACCCCAGGGCGGCTGCTGGTGACAGGAGCTACTGCACAAAGAGGGTCTTGGAGCAGAGGTGGTCTCCTGCCCCCTTGGTTACAGCCCCACAAAGCAGCAGGCCCTGACTGACAGCGTCACCTCCCCCACAGTGCTGGGTACTGGGGGTGACAGACAGGTCCCTGAAGCCGAGCACTGACCTCTGACCCCTTGGGGCTAGAGCAGCCCTAATCCCTGAGCTGAAGAGATGGGACTGGGGTTGGGGTGCCGGTCTGGGCTTTCGTCAGTGCTTCATCCACCAGACAGACAGACCTCCGATCGTCTAAGGAGGGAGACTGAGGGAGACAGGGCATGGTGACAGCGGCAGTCCCTATGGGCTCTAAGGAGGGGTGGCCCCCAGCCTCTTTATCACTCCCCCAAAGCTGTGAGGGGCCCCAGAGGAAGGCCCAGGGGCTGGACTGGCCCCCTGGCTCCCGGCCTAATCCTCTTTTAATGAGCGGCCAGCCGGAAGGCCTCAGCCCCTGGCCACAGCCCTGCAACCCTGGAGCCCCAGCCAGGCTGAGCTGGGGGCAGGGTGGCCCAGAAGCCTTCGCTTGCACATCCCCCCAACACAGACCCCAATGCCAAGGCCAAGCCAGGGCCAGCAGCCACTCTGGATATGCAGGTGGCACCTGCCTGTGCGCCCATGGGTACTCTCTCGGGCACTTACTGTGGGTTCAAGCCCAGGCCTCCCATGGGGCTGGCTGGTGGGCTGTCACGGCCACTCACGGCTAGCTCCCCCACCCAGCCTCTCCCCCTGGAGGTTCTGGGCCGGAACTCCTAGAAGCAAGACCCAGGGTTGCCTTGGGCTTAAGCTGCACCCTCC